ATCCAATGCAAGTCAATTGATGTGCATCTTAAGATGATTTATCCATGCAGGTTTGCTCAACATATGGCTCATTGTTACGTGGAAATGACACCTGCATCAAAAACACATCCGGAAAATTTAGGTCAGATCCAGCATACAAAGCAAGTCTCGTTGTGTGCATCCTTAGATATTTCATCCATGCAAGTTTGGTCAACAAAGGGCTTGCACCAAAAATGTTAACTTGCTCCAAAAATGTTAACCTGATCATTCCTTTGCTGAAATTGCAGCGTTTGAAACCTTGACTAGTACAATGAAACACACCTGAAGCATCTTCAATGCATGTCTGACCAATGCTGGGCACAGAAGTACTTGAAAAGAAAACTGCATAAAAAACCTTAATCTGGAACGCCGACAGTATCCCATAAGCTCTCCCATCTTCGTTGACGTGAGCTAAAGGGCAAAATGAAAAAAAAATCATTGATTCAAACAGATGAAAACACTCTGAACAGAAGATAAGTTCATTTTTTTTCCGTCGTTGATAGCGAGATATTCCTTTTTTTATATTGTCCTTCTGCTTAGTGAGTCAAAGTGAACTTGAAATTTACTTAATTTACCATGTTCATTCTGTACTCTACAAGCTATTCATAACTATCCCATTTACTGCCAACATCGGTACATACGTAGGTCAAAAGCATGACTACCGATTATAAATTGAGGATATGTCAGGTAATGTAGGACTTAAAGCTTATAGACACTGTGGGAAGGCTGGAATGGATGTAAATTTAGATTGCAATTTGGGTCTATGTGCAAGGGTTTTTTCTTACAAACACGCTGCAATACAATTCTCCCTTTATACAGTCACAGGACCCATCACACGTCCCAAAGTGGGATTTGAGTCACTTGTTTTGCATTCACAAAGTTACCTGAGTCAACAAATCACATTATAAATTGGAATATGAAGCAGGTCACGATCAGGTCAATGACATTTTGGGATTTGAACCAACAACATAATGAATATAACTCTTTAATCCATGATCTTAGATACATATTAAAGTAGAATCGCATTAAGTCTCTTGAGTGCATCGACTGATTGATTGTATGTTGTTTAACGTCCCTCTCTAGAATTTTTCACTCATATGGAGACGCCTCGATTTGCCGGTGGAGAGCTACAAATTTTGTCAAATACATGGCACTAACGGCCAATTGAGCAGTGAGGAATCTTGTTCATGCCAGCACGTACTGCAAAACAAGATCTCGATTTATAAGTCTCATCAAAAGGACCGGTCTCCACCTCCCACAGTGGCAAATCAATTGAACTGAGAATTATCTTAATGTATCTAAATGAATAAAAATTACAACATTTGAAAAAAAATTATTGACACTTTATTCTTTTTTTCTCATGAGATCCTAAGTGAGTTACACAATAAAGGAAACACAGTTAAAAAAAAAAAAGCAAACAAGCACATGTAATTTAAAAATCTCTGTAAAGTTTTATATTCCAGAGAATCTTGGTCACTAGAAGCATGCAGAGAACATAAGTAGCTATTGAACATCTTGAAATTGAAATATCTGGTTATAATGGTATACCTATCTGGTTATAATGGTATACCATTAGTTCGTACAGTTTTATTACACTTCAATAAACAGCTTCAAGATTTATAAAGCGTCCACTACTACATCCCAGTTATAATCATAGTTTGGGTAGTTTTCATAAGTCAATAGTGAATGAGACAGGAAAATTTCAAAAACAATGCATCAGATATGTGCAACTGAACAAAATTTAACAATGTTCATCTTCAAAGAAGACAATCAAATATAAAGCAATAAAGTACTTTAGTACTACATCTTTGTTCGCAATGTATTATGTACATAAAAGGCACAAGTCTTTGTTCATAAATGATAAACATGCAGATATCAATCATTGGATTTCTTTTCAAAGGAAATAAATAAAAAAAAAGTAACATAATATCTTTAGTCTTAAATAATATATCAAAATACAATAAAGACTAAGAAAACCTACTGTACATGAAATACCGTAAATCTGGAAATTTTTACGTCGATTTTTTTTTGCGAATTAGGGTCAAAATGCTGTTGATTTATTTTTACGTTTCAAAATTTTGCGAATGACCACTGCTTTGTTTACATTTTCTTATTGGTAATTTATTTTTAAGAAAAATATTTTGGCGCATGCAATGAACTTGCAAATTTGCTAAAAATCTATCTACAGCAAAAATTTCCAGATATACGGTACATGCACATGTACAACTGTTAAAATATCAACATCTATTCAATAGAGTTTAGTTTCCAAAAAGCTATTCTTAATTACATAGATCACTAGTCTTTAAAAGCAACAACAATAAACAAGGCAATTAAAACAAACTTTAAAAAAGGGGGCAGGAAATGAAAAACACCAGGATTTCATTTCTTCTAAAAATCCACACAAAAAAATGAAAGTAGACTAGATTCCAATCACCTAGAAAAACTAGAACTGTCCAATAGGGACAAATACCCCCGCTGCGTTTTTCAGAGTAGGTGCCAATTCAGAAATATTTTATGGATCTAGTAAGAGGTATTCACTATTGTCTAATAAAGTGCCTTGCCACAGCATGATACGCCCATCAAATATTGTTGATAATCATAAATTGGTTAGGGTGCAAGAAAATTAAGTAACCTTAATTAACAGATTGACACAGATTTCAATGATCTAATTTCCATTTCTTATCATGTTTAAAATATTGTACATACATCTCTAAGAGACTTACAGTGTAGGGATTAATTAAAACAAATAATACATCATATAATTCTAAACTGGCTGTGTTAGAGCTTAACAAATATCCATCTGCAGCTTTAAATTGTTTATTGCATATTTTATGAAATAATGGAAATGCTACAGTCTAATAAAAAAAAATCAAAAATTAATTATTCTTTAGACTATAAAATTCTAAGTGAGACATGACTGCAATTTGTTGCAAATATATAAAAATTGAAATGTAATTTTTTTCAATGAACACATGTATAATTAATTATATTATACAATACTAATTCAGTTTTAATCATACACTAAAACATCAATTTGTTTTAATTACATTACACCAATTGAAAGATCTTTATCTGAACTACAGCCATCAAGAACTCTTAATTAACACAAGCAACTATAAAGGCCGGTTTACACTATGCATCTTGACACATGCATCTACACTAAAACATCAATTTGTTTTAATTACATTACACCAATTGAAAGATCTTTATCTGAACTACAGCCATCAAGAACTCTTAATTAACACAAGCAACTATAAAGGCCGGTTTACACTATGCATCTTGACACATGCATCTAAACTCATGCTTCAATTTTGCCTCATGCATCTTCTTATTTACACTATGTGTCTTGATGCATGCATCTTTAGAATACTTTGTAAAGATGAAAATTCTCTACTTAAAAAAATAACAATACCTTCAAATTTCATTTCCGGATTTATTTTAGCTGAACAAATCATTCTTAATTTCCTTTTTATGATAATTCTTGGAAGATATAATTTATATTTATTCCAAAAGAAAAACTCCTCTACATTATAATAATCAAATAAGTTTTTCTAATTGTAGTTTTAATCAGTATTCTCTGTTTTTTGTGTATCTTGGGAAGCTATTTTTGAAACTATATGAAAAAAATAAGGCTCATGATTCAATATCAACTCTGACCTTTCTTTTCATTGGTCAGTTCCATGCATCTTGAAGCACGGAATAGAACAAGTTCTATTCCATCGTTCAAGATGCAACACCCATTTAATTTGAAACAAGGGGCTATTACACTGTGAATCTTGACACATGCATCCAAGATGCATGTGTCAAGATGCATAGTGTAAACCGGCCTTAAGGCCATTTCTTTTTACCCAACTCCCAAGAGGTAAATTAAGATTAGATCTAGAGATGCTCTTGCCAGTTAACTCCCGACAATGAACTCATTAATTTCTCTCTAATTTGACATGCACATTTCTGCTATCAAAAATTCTCCTTGACCAGTGCTTGATAATTATGCTCATGGGACAAACTGAATTCCTCTCAAATCATTAACATTTGTTATAGAATTTGCTGTAAAGTATATGATAAAAAATAAGTTTTTACTTAATTTAGCATTTTTTAATAAGGATACAACTATATTTTTTACATTTTTAAGGATTATGAAATTTAAAATTTTAAAGACTTAGTTTTTTTTAAAAAAATCACTTAAATTAAAGGTCACAGTGACCTTGAAATAGGTCGTGACACACCGTCTACCCAAGATGCATAATTGTCCAAGTTTGATGATTGTAAGTCTAATAGTTTTCTAGATATGACCCAAACAAAATCACAAAATAAAAAAGAAAAAACGCCTGTAAAATGCAGAAAAATCATGCAATCATGATGAAAATCCCAGGTGCACACCTTCATATGGTGAATAATAAGTGTATAAATTTTCAGACAAATCCATCCAACACTTTCTGAGAAACGGTCCGGACAAAATCTTGTCTACAGACAGACGGACAGACGGACAGACGGACATGGTGATTCCAATATACCCCCCTAAACTTCGTTTGCGGGGGTATAAAAATGTGTTAGTATAAAAGATAAAAAAAGCACAACATTCATTTTTTAAGAGGGGGGGGAGGGGGGGGGGGGTGAATTTTGTAATATCATATTTCCTTAGAGATTCTTTACAAATGTCAAGTGAATATTTCTTATACAATGTAATAAGTGGAAACTTGATACATCAACTGAGTAAAATATTCAAATACTGAACGGTGAGCAATTCTCTCCTACCAACTTCTTATTGGAGAAAAAGTTCTCATAAGGAGTGCAATAGATACATGTAATATGCATGCATATAAAATGTATTTATATGAAATGTGAAGGTTGAACACAACACTCTAAGCACCCCATACACAACTGTTGGTAACACAAAATTTATATGTAAAATAATTTTGTAAAACAATTGAAATTCTTTATATAAAATGATTTTAATAAATACATGTATATTAATTAATATGTGAACTATATGGTTTTTAAGTTGGTACCTCAGACATCTTAATCTTTTAAATGAAGGATATGTCTAAGTGATTTGGATGTGCAGAGCACTTCCTTGAAAGTATTTATCTACTAAAAACTTAACTTTTTAGGCATCTCTAAGTTTTTTCTTGATTCCATCAAGTTCAAGATATGAACAACATTTGACTGTATACATTAAATATATTATAAGATACAAATATGAATCTCAGTTCATTTCAGTGAACATATCATGTCTCTTTAGAATAGTCTCTTGATTTCATAAATATTTTGTACCTCCCCAACATACATTAATGATATACTAAAATATAATAAATATTATTTCAAGTAACATTAATTCCGTTATTATTTTCTCATTGTGTCATACACATTTGGATCTCTTCAATATACATCAATTATCTAACGTAAAAAATAGATATGGTGCTGCCTGATATTGGGATGCAGTAAATATGACTGCATATTGTTAAAAAAAATAAATATGGCTGCATATTGTTTAAAAAATAAATATGACTCGATATCATAGGAAAATAATATAGATGCCTATCCTTAAATTATTATCAGACAGATAAAGTTGTCTGCTCAATGATGCGTGTCACAAAGGTCAAGGACGATGTTGAGTTCATCATGGGAGTCACGGTTGAGTTGACAATAGTGGAGTTGAGACAGCCGAGATGTACCAGAGGTTCCTGGACAAGAAGCCCTGAAATCAAGACATGGCTTTATGAATACTTAAAACTGAAACATTTTCGCTATCTTTTATTCAAATTTTTTTTTCATTTTCTTAAAAATCAATTGCTACAATGTTGTAGAATTTTATGAATTACACATCCCAAACTAAGTTGCACTGGTTCTGAAAATTCAGCTTCAATGATGATTTTTTCTTGGGAAAAGAATTTTCCTACCTACCCACTGACCCACTTTTTTTCATTCTGATTTGGGAGAGTATAGTTAAACATTGCTGTAAACCAACTTTTATTTGTGTGCGAGAAAATTTAGCAAAGTTTGCTAGAGCCTCGTCATCATGAATATTTCTCGCCATGAACCGGTCCTTAAAGTCTCTCTTTCTATTAACAAAAGATCAAAAAGCCTAGATCGCGAAAATCATCGCAAACTAGATTACCCTCAGTAAATTGTGAAATAAAGTTGTCGCAAATAAAAGTTGGTTTACAGTATTTCAGAGTTGGCAATACCTGCTATACAAGCTGTCATGAGACTTGTTACTATTCCTCCTAACAGAGCTCGCAGTACAATCTGAGCCAGGTCCCCCTTCCTGCTGGGCGCCATGGGACTCAGAGCCCCTAGCTGGATCCCTATAGAGCTCAGGTTGGCAAACCCACACAATGCGTAGGTGGCTATGATCTCTGATCGAACCTTAAAATAGCAAATTTTAAAAATGCATTCTAATTATGGCAAATATTAATAATTTATAAAAACTCAGAGCATTACGTGCCTGTTTTTCAAAGAAATAGAAATGAAATTGCAGATTATTGTAATTGTGAGGAAAATTTCAAGTATAAGAAAATTTTTATATCTTCTCATATTGCAAACTTAGGAAAAAATTAAAAATACAGTGTAAAAGGTTAAGTTAATATACTCACTGCCAAAATACGGCCAATGCACTGTTTTCTGTTCGTAAGATATGTTGATAATTCTCCATATGCAAGGAATTCGTTAAGGAAAGTCTTGATTCCGATTAGCTCTCCCACAATGCCACAGTCTTTCCATTCTACGCCCATCAAGTATGCCAATGGCATCAACACGTAAGAGCAGATCATCTGGGAAGAATTCACATAACATTATAATATGATAAAACTTTATAGAATTCCAACTTTTTTATCATGTTCATTTTTTGACTGTTTTAACATACTCATTTTTTAAATAATTTAATGCAAAATTCAACCTGCAAAACTTTTTTTTTTAATTCATTACAGAAAATGATTTTAAAAAAAAAATGTTAATGAACATTTATATTGTTTAAAATTCTTTAAAAAAAATTTTGAGATCAAGTATTGATTTATCTAAGTCAATGTTCTTCAATTCCACCAATTCAATAGGAAATTTTATTTATCAATTTCCATCAAATCCTGCGTCTATATAGTAAAACTTGTTAAGTATGAACACGGATATTGTGAATTCATGGATTCACTGCAGTGCTCCAAGTCGCACTTACTTTTAGGTTGCTAAATGGCGACCTAAAACTTTTTTTGGTCGCCATTAACAAATTTTTCACTCGCCATGATGAAAACGAGAATAACGCAATTAAAACAATGAACTAACATCCACATGTGTTATGTTTATATTAAATCAAAGATTATTGATTACTGTGACTAGAATCTTTTGCTAGTTGAAGGATATATTTTTATTAAATACAACCACCCTTTGTATGGTAAACAGAAGAACACACGTAACCTGATCCTAGAATTAAAGTTTAATCAAAAGAAAATAAAACTTTGACAGTTGTTGAGACAGGACTTTGCCAATATTGTTTATCACGTTTACCTGTTTACTTACTACTAAGTGTCTTACCCATAACGCAGTCATTATCAATGCCGCCAAAACACTTAATTAATTGTGATATGCAAGCCATTGACCAAATACTTTAATAACGAGGTCAGAGAAACTCTAGAAAGTTTACGACATTTGGATGCCATTCTCTCAGAGACGATATGTATATACGTTTCTGGTTCTATCAAACTTAACTATTACAGCACGCTGTCATAAAATTACGTGATCCAATTCCATATGACGCTTTGTAAAGTGTGTTAAAGTGTATATCTTCAAACATTGTCTTGATAGAGAATCTTGAAAATGTAAATCTCGATACCGATCATAAAAAGATAGACGTTGCCAGCCCAAATTTTCTCAGTCACGAAAATGCGATTTATTTTAATTTCTAGTCGCAAAACCAATTTTTTGGTCGCAAATGTGACCGTTTTAGTCACAACTTGGAGCACTGTTCAGCAAAGTTATTTGGATACTCAGTTATACAAATTAACGAATTCCTTATACAGATATAAAGAATGACAGATATTATAGTAAAGTAATTTCACAGGTCCCAGCGCTACTGTATCTATACCTGGACCTACCTGAAATGAGAACTCTGGATAGCCTACAAAGCCACCGAACCAAGAGAGAACGGCATTCACAAACTCCAGCATAGCCAGAAATGCAATCAGGTTAGCCGCGATGTTGGCCACCAGTTTAATGGAGGATGAGGCACCAGCTGCTGCGGCCTCCAAGATGTTCCTCTCTGTCCTAGGAAAATATAAATTTTAGATACTTAAAGTACATCAAATTACTGAAAGTACATAAAATTACTTAAAGTACCCCAAATTACTTAAGTACCATAAATAAAAGTAACATACGTAATTTAAAGCAATTTTGATTATTAAACTACTAAGAGTACTATAAATTACTAAAAGAATTTTTTTAGGTGGTATTAATTTTAAACTTGACTCTTTTTTTCACCCTATTTCTATTTTGGAATTTAAAACTAGTCATTCAATTTTACTTTTTTGTTTAAAATTTGCATGAATACACTTCAATTTCAAAATGCCAAAAGTTATCTTTCCTTGTGAAGAAAACAAGGTGAGAATTTTACATATTGAAACTGATCTTCCAATTATCAAGTTTTCTAGTGTTGCCGTACTTTTCCTCCTTGTCAAGGTCCGAGGCCTTGCTGAGTTTGCTGGACTCGGTCTCAGGGTACAAGAGTTTGGACACTGCTAGAGCACAGGGGGCATTCATCACAGAGGCACACAACAGGTGCTCCGCTGATACCTAAAATGTAAATAGTAGGGGGCATTGCTGAGACTGGGAATTGTACAAAAATTAACACAGCCAAAAGTACTTCATACATGTACATGTTAATTCTTGGAAAATGTGTACCATAATGATTAAAAGAAAATTTATAATGTCATTTTTACATGTCTTAGTATATGGCATATAAAATGTAAAAAAAATATATATATTTTTCTCTCTTAAATTTCATATAATTTTTTTTTTCAAGAATTGGAATATCTCATTGTTTCAATATGCATTTCATAATGCAGAAAAAGTCAGCCATTTATCAGACCTACAATAGCCCATCAGAAAATTGTTTCAATGAGCTGAAAATGTTTATGTACTTACTCCAAATGATATGTAAGCAGCTAGTACTCCCCCCGCAATGGTAGCGAAGCCCCCGACCATTACAGCATGAAGCTCAGACTTTGTCATCAGGGCCAGGAAAGGACGAATCAGGATAGGGGCTTCCGTCTAAAAATAGAATAAACATGAGCATATACAATGGGTACACAGTATAAACTTATTGTATACTCTCTTTGATGTAATTTCGTTTTTTTTTCCTCTTGATAGTGAATAAAAAAACATATGAAGAGTACATGTATAATTTAAATATCAATCTTATTTGAAAAATTTATAGGTAAGAAAACCTACTTGTCCAATGAAAATATTGCCAGCAGCACACAGAGATTCGGGTGCAGATGTACCTAGACTGACTCTCATAACCCAGGCGATCTTATTGATGACAACTTGCATGGCTCCAACGTAGTACAGCACGGAGATAGCACAGCTGAAGAATACGATAACAGGCAGTACCTTGAAAGAAAAAAAAAATAACACACATTACAGAATTAAATTCAAAGTTAAAGACTGAGTAAATGTACAACTATCAGTTGTAACAGTTTTTCTAAATCAAAGGGGAAAAACTCCCTGTTTATCAAATTTTTTTTTTCTTTGTAAATTATGACAACTTTCTAACAGATTGTGTTAACAAAAGGAGGAAGTGAACGTTGATTAAAAATTGTTGAAAAGTAAAATTTCATAAAGTATTATTAGTGATTTATTAAATTAAAAAGATTTCATTAACATATCAAAGGGACTTTTCTCTTTAAATAGGGATTTACAAATGTAAACGGTGAAAGGGGGTAGTTATGGTAATATCAAACAAAGAGAATCAAAGTCTACTTTTCCTAATAAACAATAGAAAGTTTGGGAATAATATTTTTTGAAAAAAAAAATGAATTGAGTTTTAAAACTAAAAAAAAACATGCTTGTCAAAGAACATTTCTTACTAAAAAAGACAATAAAAATGTGTAAATAGGATAAAAACATGAATACACTTAAAATGTGAATACAATAAAAATGTGAATACAATAAATACCCACCATCATGGCAAATGGGTGATCTGTGTATTTGTCTCCAAACACAAACTTGGTCCCTGTGTTGGTAAAACTTAGAAAGGTTTGAACCTGGTTTCCCAAAAATTCAAACACCGCTTGACCAACACTCCATTTCAGAATCAAAGCAGCAAAAAAGAACTGCAGGGCTAACCCCCCAAATACTGGCCGCCAATTTACCTAAGTAAGAAAATGTGTAATTGACATTAACATCAATCAAAAGGGTGGATTTAAGGAATCACTGTCTAGTTAGTATAGTATGCCAGGGCATCAACGATAGTGGGAAACATGGGATAATTTGCATAATGGGCTTACTTTTGTTGGGTGGGCAGAGCAGATGAGGAGGATGAACAGGAAGAAGACGTAACCACAGATGGAGATGAGATTCCGGGGACGGTCCCAAACTGAAAAAGCTGTTACAGCAATGGCAGCAACAACCAGAAGGATGCAAAACACACTGAAAAAATTCAATTAAAAATGAAGTTCATTATTTCAGAATTCCTTAACAAATTTACTGAATAAGCATACAAGTATACATACTTTAAATTTGAAAGGAAGGACTTGTTCTATTAAGGCATTTTTTATGATATCCATATTTCTTTATAAGCAGGTAATCCCGTCACATATAAAATTAATAATTTCTAAAGCCTACACAAAGGTGCATGTTGTTGACCTACATTTGAATGACCTTGACCAGCATCTGACGTTGATCAAGGACAGTGGCGAGGGGGAAAACCAGTTTTTCTGAGATCTTTCCACCAAATTTCTTCCTCACCAGCCATATAACAATGCACGTCACTGTCACCATGGTAACAGCAATGAGAGGTGTAGGGTCCTTGACCTGTGACTGGTGTGTGATCACCATGGCAGCCACAAAGTAGGCCAAGTACAACACACTCAAAGATACATATACCCCCTGCAATTATAAATTATAAATTTGATTAACAATGGAAACTTTTGAAAGTACACAAGATAAACATTACAGAATCAGCATTAGATGTCAAAATTATAGAATGTTTTGAAATAACTTTAAAAATGTACAAATAATATCATTACAAAACCCAGTAATTTATATTTCTGAATTTCCTAAATGTTTCAGCATTTACTGATAACACTTCAAATTAAAGTTATTATTACTACTTATAATTTTTTTATTTTCTCTCAACATTTTAACTTTTGTAGACATGTTAACTTTCACATTATAAATTCCCCTTTTCTGATTAGTATCTCAGTTAATGTTAATTTTAACAGCCCTAACTTCCTGGATAAGCAACCTTAACATTTTATATATATATATATATAGTGTCTTACTTACCATTTTGATGTGGGAATGATTAGACTTGTAGAAGTTGGAGGCCCCGCTGTGGATTTTGACAAAGCTGTTAAACAACATGTTACTGCTGTCCTCAGAAGACAATATAGAGCTACTGTCCGCTGTTCCATTTATGTCTCCTTTCTCTGTTTGGGGAAAAAATATAGAAAATATGCAGAGTTCTCTCCCTTTAGAGAGCAAATCCAAAAGGTAAAAAAGTTGTTCAGAGAGCTAATTTTTTTTCTGAAGTGCTTATTTTTTTTTACCTGAAACTTTTTATTTATCAACAAAGTTTTGCATACAAAACTAAATGCCTTATGGTTTGATTACATTATTAGACCATGCTATGTTTAATTAGTACTGAAAGAATGAATTGCAGAGCCAACCTGACTTTCAACAGTTCAATAAAAAAAATTCTGTACTGAATTACATAACCACAAAAGACTGTTCGAAAATTATTAAGGGGGGAGGGGACAACATGACAAACCTTTTTCAATACATAGTGAAATTCCCTCTGGGACAATATCGTCTGTCGGAACTTCCGTGTACGTCGTAAGTAAACTGGCGTCAGATTTCTCGTACTTCATGGGGGTGGAGGAGATGAAGGGTTTGGACATTTTAGAATCCTGAAAAAATTAATATATCTGGTCTAGAGAACTTTTGTTGATGAGTTTTGTATAAATGCATAAATTGGTACATTAATTAAGGCTAACAATGGTTCATTAATTAAGGCTAACAAGGAAATCCACCAGTCTTTAGAATGCATTATAAATGTTTCAACAAAAGATTCTGCACATTCTCTGCAGCATTCAACGAATCTAACCCCCCCCCCCCCCCCCATAAGACTTGTATTTAGAATGTGTATTTGAATTTTGTAAAATTGTAAAAAATTTGTTTTAATTTTTTTTCTGGCTTTCACATACTTTGGACATACAAAAAAAATATAATTATGATATTTATCCCCAACTTTACCAAACAAGCAGAATTATACGGACTTGATATTAAATTCATCTATTGAGCTACAGGTTGTTTATTCAATACATTATGCCATAGTCTGGTTTGAAGAACATTTAGTATGTTTCGTATGTGTACAATGGCATTTTTAAATATAAAACATACACATTAAAATGTCTGTAAAAGAAAAGGTCACATATTAGCCTATATTTCACAGTTTTTTCGATTTTAATATTGATTTTGAATTTGATAAAATTAAAATAATTTAAAATAAAATTCAATATTTTTTCTTTCCTGTAAACATAAAACCCTTTTCTTTGTCTTACCCGATGTTGTGTTTCCCTCTATTCCTAGAAAGGAAATGCAATTTTTAGCGCGCATCGAAAGCGCGTTAAAGCGCGCCACGCTTAATCTCTTGATGATGCAACCAATCCATTGTCAGTGTATTTTTATTAATAACTCAAAAAATGAATGAATAACCTAATTCTTATAATAACAAATACTTGAAGCAATTATTGAGTAACTTAGTAATTTTTTTAACACACGTGGTATTAATCAATGTATCGCTTAGCATATAAACAATATTAGATCTAACAGGAAATATAGGCATTTCTTCACACATGATTTGGGATTGTCTCTCGCTACCACATGGCACGTCATGTTTCGTGAAAAATTAAGCGATTTAAAACATCTACCGAAAATCCGACAAGGGGAACACAATTAGTAAACTTAAAATCATTATTTATCAACAAACTAAAATCCTGAAATTATTAAATAAGCATAAAAACTTACTTCTTTCATGACTGGTTTCCACGTCCCGCGTGTTTCATTCACAGTTTTGTGTTTCCCTTGAATCGATAAATGTAAACAACCAATCGTGTGACTCGGAGATGATCGGCTCTACTCGGTACGACGGTTATTGTGGGGGCGGATCGCATTATTTGTGCAATGGATTTAACAATAAACAATATGTCCTGAAATTGACATTCCATTGTGGCAAAGCTTTTTTAAAACGTTTCATTTAAAAAAAAAAAAAAAAAAAAAAAAGAATTTCTTTTCTTTTGAAATAATCTGGAATATTTTTTTCAATTTTTCTTTTCAATTATATTTTTCTCATAGTAAAAAAAAAAAAGGTAGACTTAAAAAATATAAAGATTTCAAATAATTTTAATGATTCTAAAACTGATTGTAGCCAGCAGACCTGTATATAGATACTTTAAAACTTTGAAGCTAATTACCGAGGCTAACATTTATTTCTGACCATGATTATTTTTCCCGCTTTATAAGATTACTATCAATCAGAAGAACGAAATAACATAAAGATTAATAAATAAGGGTCTAATTTAATGAATCACGCACATGTGCATACAGGACGATTACGTTTATATATATCCTTTACGATAAACACCGTGTCTTTTTGTAACCCTTTATTCCTGTTATTTATTTGATCGCGTCTAATCCCCGTTACAGACATATATTATTTTGATATTTGCAACACCTTATAACAATGAACGATTCTTCACTTGTGATCAGTTAATCGGTGCATTTAAAGGACAAACTATTAACATTCTAAAAATAACACACAAAAAAAATCAATAAAGTTTGTCTGGATTTACAATCAGATTTATAGCCCCCAAACACCCCTTTTTTAAATTTTAAATTCAAAAGTTACAAAGCTTTATTAATTTAATGATATAATGTTTCCATTCATATACTACGGGAATACTAGACTGCATGGCTATACATATGTAGATAAAAAAACTAGGTGCCTCATTCTAATCGTCTATTGTGCATATGCATGGAATCTACAGAATTTATTTATAATCTTTTGCACACTGAAACAGATAGGTATGGTATATATTTCTGATACCACCAAAGAATCTCAGCTTTCTTTTTTTTTTTTTAATGCTAAAGATGTTTTAATTTGTCTTTGGTTCAGAAGAAAATGCACTTTTCTCTGAATTTCTAATGAAAGTGAAAACATGAGTTTTGAAATATCTCAAAAGTTTCAAATAGTCATAACACCAAATTTTCTATTTTAATAAAAAATTGTGGGAAGACAATATACATGCATATGCGCATTGAAGTGCGTACAGGTATAAAAAGGATACTGGAGATAACCCACGCCCCTCTCACCCCTTGCCCAGGGAAGTCTTTTTTTATTCAAGGACTAATCAGGATATATTGGGGGAGGGGGTGGGGTGTGAAAAGAAATACAAATCACAGATTAATGACGAGCAAAAAAGTTTGACTTGAAAAAAAAAATCTTACAAAAAAATCTTACAAAAATCTTAAAATTTTACATAATACATATATACTAGAGAAGTAAATTTATCATTGATATTAAATTAAGTGTGTTTTTTTTAGGAATAGAGAGAGACGTGCAAGTAAATGTATGAATAAAGTTAAACTTTACTACTAAAATTCACGAGGGCCCTTCTTCTTGGCCCATCAGAATTTCGCCCTAAACGTTCAGGGCCCGGGGTCTAAAAGATTTATGGTGAATTTTAAGAAGAAATGTTGACATTTTGTATAATTTTAGGGGCGTGGCTGCTGCAACACGTGTCCACATTTTAATAACTTTTTTAATGAGAAAAGGTTAATATCATTTTTGCCGTTGTTACAGATTATAAAAGTATTAATTATCACCAACTACTCTCCTCAAGCAATTAAGTGTTTTCTGAAAATCGTACTGCAAATGCATTAATATTGTATATATCAATTACATGCAATTTCTATTCAAAGTTGTTTCGAATAGAAATGGAATATAATTGATATAAATCTAAATGCGATTTTCAAATAGAGACATATATATATAGATGAATAAATCAGAGATTGGAAATTGAAAAAAAAAAATATTTGTAAAAATATTGAAGGTGAAAGGGGGTGGGTAAGAACAAATTACCTGTAAGCATATATAGGTTATAGGTTCGAACTTCAGTACCAATTTTTTTTTCCAAACAGCACCACTTTCCCAATTTTAAATCTATTCTGCAACGTGTCTGTGGAAAGTGGGGGGGGGGGCTAAACCTACGCAGCAATGTTCATTGTCTATACTAAGTCTATCTTAGGAAAAAAAGTGGGCTTAGCTCCCCCCCGGTTCCGACGCCTATGTTGTATCGCACTACGGGTGGTTACCAGGTAGGTAGGGGGGGGGTATAACTCGGGTAGTTTGTAAATCAGTCACATGGTAATGCGTAATTTTTTGACTATTTATAAGTACCAACAAATTTCCGACTTTCGTTTTAAATGTATGGCATGCATTTGTTGCATTCTTTTTGTAATGGTTTGGGTCAGGAATATTGACAATCAGGTAGCTCGGTCAGTAGATTGAACACCTGATAAGTGATCCATGGGTCCCGGGTTCGATTCCCGGCCCAGCTATGCATTTTTCTACATTTGGTGTCGTTGACCAACCATGACTGGTCATGCAGGTGTTAGTCCTAAAAATAGATTTTGCCCTCGAGGGCTGAGACAGTTTAATGAGGGAGGACTGTAGTTGTCTGGGCCATGAGAATTAGCCTGGATAACTCAGTATGTAGATCACCCGCCTACTGAGTGATGCATGCAGCCCTGGTTTCGGGTTCGATTCCCAAGAAGACCTGACATACATTTTCTCTATAACCTCTTACACTTTCAATTACAAGACAGAAGCGTAAATACAGTACAATACCGAATATGTTTTATTTTTGAAATTTAATTATAAAATAAGCTGACAGATAAAATGATGAACAGTTTTACATTTCATTGTAATCCTAATGCACCTCCGTAGCTTTATTGACAGATAGATAACAAATTCTATTAAAACGAAAGCTTGCATTGATACAGTAAGTACATGTATATCAAAATCTTCATCTCCAAGAATAGTTTCTTTTTTTCCAGAGCAAAGCTTTAATTTCTTGATAATAGCAGCGTGAAATTTTAAATAAGAGACTCAAAGGGAAAGAGGGGGTGGGGTGGGGGGTTAAGTGTTGATATTATAATTCCGATGTTAAAATAAGAAAAAGTGGGTAATTATTCATTAAAGGCTGAAATCAATGATTATTAAATAATGAATCGACGAATTTACCTATTTCATAAGTAAGACTAAGAAGTTTATTTTTTTGGAAGAAATATTTTAACGTTTTAAAACGAAAGTTAATTTCGAGGAATGGAAAGAATCCACATTGAAGTAGTATAATTTAGCCAAGGTTACTTTAAAATTAGACACATTTATCTAAAAATATTACGAATGCTGAAAACTTTATATCATGTCTATCTTATCTTATATTGTCACATATATATATATATACAGTAAATTGCCTGCCAATTGATATACGTAATAGATATTGATTAAAGTTATAGGATTTGCATGTAGGTCAATGTATGTAACGTTTTATCTATTTTTCTCAGGTGTTTTTTTTATATAATATATATGTACAAAATACTTGCATTTATATGTCAACAAACGCAATATTTAAACTGGTTTTGAATATTGTGTCGTGTTCTCGATATCAAATTAACAATTAAGGTTTAGTAAATACAAAATTTAGAACAAGAAAACCTTAAGATTTGTTTATTAACTCCCATCCGGTAAATTTAAAATTTAGAAATCCGACAAGAGTTTGATAAACAAAGATAGTTTTAAAACTTGTTTAAAATATATATACATATATATACATGTACAAAAGTTCCTGTCTTTGCTGCTATATATAGCAATATTCGACTTGTTATCTTTGAGTAAGATGTTGAAAGTGTCATAGATATGGTAACTATGAGGAAATTCATCTCTCAGCTTATAAATTATCAGTTGAATGTAATAAAATAAAATAAAACGGAAAAACGTACTTATTTTTTTTAACATAAACCCTAAGGACTTTCCTGTTGTAGATAGAACTGTATCACTATGGCAGAAATGGCCGACACAGAATTCGAGGTTGTCGCCCCCTCCAACATCCCACAGGTGTCCTTGGCACCAGACCAGCTGTCCCGGAAGTTCCTCATGTGTCACGTCTGCAACGAGCAGTACAACGAGGATGGAAAACACCCCCGCCTGCTCCCCTGTCTACATACACTCTGCTACGAGTGTCTCACCAAGACCAAGGCTGATGACGAGCTAAAATGCCCAACGTGCAAGATCAAGCACTCCGTGACCAATGTAGACAAAGACTGCCCGCGAGACAACACGCGTCGTGACCTTATGGATTATGTCAAGGTCAAACGAGCGCCATCTGCTGTATCCTGCAGCTCCTGTCCGTCAAATGTGGCAACACACAGATGCAGAGAGTGCGCTGAGTTCCTATGCGTGGAATGTCAAAAAGCACACGAGCGTGTGAGCGCAACTAAAGGTCACAACTTGATCTTATTGGAGAAGCTGAAGCAGTCCCAAGACCTTGACGCCTTCTGCAGACAGCTGATGTGCAGTGATCATAATAATGAACTTAAGCTCTACTGTACCAAGGACACATGTCAGAAACCCGTCTGCATGATGTGCGCCATTGTCACCTGCAAAGAGACAAACGGACACATGATAGACAGTGTAGAGACCGTTGCAAAAGAAAGGCGCAAGAGCATCAAATCCCAAAAGACATCTATGGAGAATGTTGGCAAAGAGGTCGAACAAGTCATTGGTGACGTAAAAAGTGAGCAGCAAAAAGTGGACGAACTACGCAAGAAGGTGGAGGGGGAGATCGATGAAACGTTTGACAAGCTGGTGCAGATCATTGAAAGGGGACGGGCGGATCAAAAGAAAGCTTTGGAAGATGGTGTTATGACAAAACAAAACAATCTCAAAACCCAGGAGAAAGAGTTGAAAAGAATGAAGGGTGAAATAGAAGAATCCAGCAATTTCACCGAGCAGGCTCTCGCTTACACAAATGCTGCTGCTTTCTTGCAGGTTCGTACTGCGCATTTTTATCTAGCAGTTATGGCCTCTTCATATATATCCTGCTTATTCTAGTAAAACTAAACTTCGTTATCCCGAACTCTGATTTATCGTATACTATGGATATGTCGAAGTGATTTAAAAGTCACAACAATGTTTTCTTTAAGTATTTATCCTGGATATTTCGAACGCTCAGACATCTAAAAATATTTTTGGTCCAATCGAGTTCGGTATAAGGATGTTTTACAGTAACTATAGTACATTTAATGAATAAATGCATTAATATTATGAATAATTGTTTTCTCGGAATTAACAATCTTAAGGTTATAGAAAAAAGTTCAGACAGACAGAATCTTTTATATTTAGATTGACCATACCATTGATAATAGACTGGATGCACTGACGAAGCAATTCTTTGACAAGGAGCCCCACGAGATGGCCACTTTCGGTTTTCACGCTAAAGGTTTAATCTCTGAAATCCAAAGCAAGGTTGTGGAGATGGCTAAAGTCTGGTCGGTGTCGGCTTTCCCGCCAAACTGCAAGGCTGGGCTAGAGGAAGAGCTGGAGGAAAACAAGTCGACCACGTTCGTCGTCAGTCTGAGAGATTTCCAAAGAAACACGCCCTTCAAGGACTGCGAGTTAGATGTGTGTGACGTCAAGGCAGTTGTGAAAGATCCAAAAGGTACATGAACAGGATTTTTTAAAATAAAGTATTTCACATCTTTCAGGCGTTTGAATTTTATGGTGTTTGGTATTGTGAAAATTGCTATTCACAATCATCAATTTTCGAAGATAAATGATATCGGTGTTTTATTTGATACTATTTGTAAGATTTGTAACATGCAAAATATGTAGAAGCAGAATTGCAAATAATATGGACAAAACCCTGTTTCTAATGACGTCATACACTGACATGTGACTGACTCTGTGTCAGGTACCGAGACCGAGATTCTGATGAAGATGAAACATGGAAGTAAGGATGAAATGGAGGTCACCATCAAACCAACCATGTCAGGGCGACACGCACTTGAAATCAAAGTACTGGATAGAGTGGTAGTCACCAAAGACTTCGAGTGTAAACCAGGTATATTAAATTTCAGTATTATGTTAAAACAAATACAATATGCTAGAGCTTGATTGATAAAACAGCAATAGTCTTGAGATTGCAGATATGATAGGATCCATTATCCAATTTTATGTTCGTTTCTGATTTTTCTATCTGAAATGTATAATGATGTTTTTCTTTGAAGCTGTTGTGAGAAGTGCCAGCAAGAAAGAACCACCGCCGCGTAAGGAGACCACTCCAAAGAGGGACCCCTCTCCAAAATCACCTAAGCCAGTTGGGATACTAAGTAATGATATCATTATCCCATGCTAAAACATTATAAGGGCCGTAAAAAGATGTCTTTACTTTTTAAAACTTTTTATTTAATTTATATAATAACCATTTTTTTTACCATGCTTTTTGTAGAACCGGACTTGACTTTTGATAGAAACAAGGCCCACAGAGATGTCTCCATTTCTCCTGATGGAAAGATATTCAAGAACGTTTCCACTGGAGAACACATGGAAGTAGTCCCGAATAACAGTCGTCTGCAGAAATACAAGGGCGCCATTTGTTCCATGGGCCTTCAATATCCCGGTAGATTTAAATATGCCATCAAGATTGGGATCCAGGTCAAAAAACCTCTGGACAAGAGTAACCTTGTGTTTGAACTGGGAATCGCGCGAAAATCCGTCATTGGGAAGAGTTTGGTTGTGGAAGGAGAGAAGTATGCATGGTCAATGATTGGTGCGCATCACGTGGATTGTGACGCAATATGTTTACATGTTGCCCATAACAACCACTTGCTGTACCACGAGGTCCTTACATCCAATGTCGCCGGAAGTTCCATGGAGAGAACTTTCGGGTTTCTGTTGGATACCGAGTTTGGTCAATGGAAGGTCTTCGACAAGAAGCTTGAGAAGGAGATATGTGTGGTGGAGGCGGTCGATTGCTCCGAGCTGCTCTTCCCTGTTGTAGCTGGATACAACCCAAGTAGCGTGGAGGTCACAGCAACCATTGTTCACGTAGATTAGAACAACACGAGCAAAAAAGAAGATATAAGATACAGGCCAAAAAGCAAGAGTGTTATTTTTACGATTTTGGAAACTTTTTGAAAAAAGAAAAATAGTTGAAATGTACATATACACAACAGAACATTTCACTTTCGGTTTTAGGGGTTAAAGGGGTTAATAGTTTTACTATCAAAAGAATTCTGTTTTGTTTTTATTTTATTTGTTGTGAGTTGAACTTTTGTGATGTTTTATTTTTCTAGTACATGCACAACCGCTTGTTAATTTCTGTAAAGACATGTAGAGTTATGCGCTGAAAGCTGTCATAGTTATCCAACTACATTCCATAGGCGTCGGAACACCACTTTTTTGCAGAAATAGAAAAATAGACTTGATATATACATATCGAATGTGAGGTCTTACCCTTTTTTGTTGGTTTAGCTAACTATTTTTAATTAGACCCCCCTTTTTTTCAATTTGCTTCAAATGCCTATCTATCTTGTCTATATTCACTCATACTAGTATTCAACATATATATATTGAAATTATTTATATTTTACATATTTGATTATGTATTATAATTCACATTATTTGTTATACGTTTTCTGTTGCGTTATTTTACTATATAGATTTTTAATCACCTTTGCAATTTTTTTTAGAATTGAAAGATTAATAAGGTTGGTTGCTATGATTTATTTCATATTATTAGTAAATTTTTTTCGTTTTTAGATATATAACCTTTTAGTTACGGGAACATTCTATAATTTTGACTTGTAGCTAAAATAATTTTGCTTTCAGTTCATTAAAGTTTGTTTGTGGTAATTTGTATTCGAAATATATTTACTTTTTATCACAATTTTATTCATATAGTTAAATTTTAAAGCAATTTTAAATCTTAAAAAACTTTTTTATATATTGTTGAAAATCTACATGTATATGACTGTATAAATTAACTTTTATATTAGTTATTACGATTAATTAATATTAGTAGCTTAACTGATTTTTAAAATTATTAAAACATACTACATAACAGGGTTTGTATTATTGGGAAGATTATAAATAAACTATACAATCATAGTAAATATCTCTGTATTCTTTTTTTTAAAGTGTTCGTTTGACGCCTTGGTTGAGAAGATGCAAATTAATATTTTTTACTGTTAAACGTTTTTCATCGCTTCACTGTTTTTGCGAAATTCCTCCAAAACATTGTTTTCTTTTTTGATTTGCAAAGCTAGATTAAGATTAGGACTTAGGATGGCTTATTATTAGAACCACAGAAAATTGTGTTCCCTGATTAAATGAAGTGGTCGATCTACAACACTTTCTTGTGTAGATTTCTTCCAGCTTTGTAAATTAACAATAGTCGATTCGATGTATCTCAGTGAATTAAAAATAATAAATAATAAACACCGTAAAGTCTGCAACGTTTGTTTCACTTTTGGAAGTTTCAATGCCTATAAGTCATAGAACCTACTAACAACAAAATTGTATGACAAAAGCTTTTTAATCTTCAAGATTCTTCATTTATGTAGTAATATTCCACCATCATCTGTTCATGGTGTTGATGTCTATCATGCAAATCTCTCACTACTCAGATTACGCTCCAAGTACAATCAATTGTTAAAACGAGGCAGATTACTGATAGATACGTTGATGTTAAAGGAGTTTCGAAAACCTCGAAGAGTCGACATTTCGTAAGTTCTTTGACCGTTATAACTATCTTGTTAGCAGATAAAACCTACGAGTATTATAGGGTCGTATTGTGTTTGACATATATATTCTTTCTTTCCAGTTGATAGATATTCGTCTTAATTCTTAAATCAACTACGGAATATTCCGTCTGCATCACTTCAAAGGGCTCAGGGCAGGTAAGACCGGTCAACAGAGGATGCTTGCTCTTCCTTGACACCTGATCTCATCTCTGGAATTTCTGTACTACGAGCCCGTGTTTATATCCTGTTGACATACTAGTAATTGATATGTATTTAGATCTTTTGAGATTGATTGATCCTTGTTATCTTCTTCTTTTATTTACGACAACTTGACAGGGGGAGGCGGTGCATGAAGCTAGAATTTTATTTTTGTAACTTTCTAGTAAATGCACGTTTAGCTGTACATTGGTAAACCGTACAATATAGTGCTAAAGAATGCAAATAAACACCTACTTGTCACTATTATTAGCCTGTGTCAGTTAACTCTTTAGTTCAATACCCTCGATACATATGTTAACATATGTAGAATTTCACGTAAGCTGTATTATGAACATGTAACTTGCTGCAAAAATTGTATAAATTAATGTAGAATTATTGATTTTTATATAGTTTTCCTTTTCATTCTTTTTCACTGTTCAAAGAAAATTTACAATAATCATTAGCAACATATCTGAATACTTTCATCCGTTGTTATTTGTGTGGCAATTCTAGAGAAAAGAATAATTCGTAACGACAACGACAATACATTCGATATTGCAAAGATAACTGTGAACATCAATGGACCAGACATTTCTGCTATGTTAATTGCAAAGAAGTACTCGTGTGGGATTTTTCAGAGTTTGATCCTCGCCTCTGTTATAACTCTTTCTGTTCAATGTACAAGGCACCATGAATATTCTTATGGTGGACATCAGTACGGTTTGTATATGCTTGTGATTTATCAAAATCATTTCTTAAGCAAAAAATATATAATATCTATTTATAACTTAATCGATATTTTTTAAAAGTGTACATTTATTATCGAAAAGATCAATGCATAATTTAAGCAGATTTTAATATGAGAAATAAGCGTATCAAATGGATACTGTAATCTACATTGAAATCACTCAGGTTATGGCGTTAACTTTATTAAAAGTAGGTCACCGGGGGGGGGGCTCACAAGGATTACATATGTGAAGGGCCCTGCCCCCCCCAAAAGTTGTGGTCAAGGTTAAAGTTTTTACATAAGTACCTTTAAGGTCAAGGTCACTTTTTTTGAAAGGACCCAACCTTATTTATACTATAGGAAATGTTAATTGAAAGCCTGGTTGCCCCCCCCCCCCAAAAGTTATGGTCAAGATTAAAGTATTTCACTTTTAGTGATGTACTGAAAATGTAGTATTAGAAAAGTTGGTAAAGTTTTTAAAAAGTAGTTGACATTGTGAAAAAGTTTCTCCTCCCCCCTCCCGAAATAGGATTTTTTTTCGACTTTGGGCAACTTTTCTTTTTTTTTTTTTTTTTTTTCAAAAGTTATGGCCAAAGTAAAAGTTTGAAATTTCTGTGTCAACTTTTTCAGGTAAGTAAAAATAATAAAATCAAAAGTTCTTAAAGTTTTTGTGACGGACAGACTGACAGACTGACGGACAGACGGACAGACGAATTGCCCCCCCCCCCCGTTTTCTGACTTTCAAAAACGATGCTATATGGCGCCACTGTCACTTACGTCTACATTGAAATCACTTACAAAAATAAACTCTGGATTGTTTTCAAATGAAACATATGGACATAACGAATAATATTCAAGATCAAAAATCCATAAAACAATACAAAATGGGAGCAGAGCAAACACGGACCTTCAAAACATAAGAGGATGGATCAGAACCATTTATTTCAGCAAATATAGTGTTTCTTTTCGAGCTATATTTAAAAATTGACATTTAACCTCTAATTTAATTTTCTAGGCCCCTCAAAATGGGGCTTGACCTGGAAGGAGTGTGGCGGGAAAAATCAGTCTCCAATCGACCTCCACTGCGCCACCTGCCGGAAGAAACATTTCAGACTTAGATTCAGTAACCACGGAGAGGAATGCGACGGATATCTCATCAATAACGGTAAGAGAATTTGTAACTTTTTGTAAGTATGTGAATTCCTTGGTCAAATTCTGTTTAAAATCAAAGTCCTAAAAATTTTTATGAAACATGACCGTAAAATTACGACCAACCGATATTGGCAAATAAGATGGTTATCATAATTATTATGAAATTTGCAGAATACTGACATGAAAGGAGGTTGTTGAGAGCCGTGTAGCTTTAAGTTATTAACCAGAAGCTTGACTCGGTTGAAAATTGTATACTTATCAATTACTATGCATGTCCATGCATATATATGTTTAAATTTATCGTACGTGTACGTGTATCAAGTTCTTTGCATGTTAATTAAACGGATAAACTGCAAGAAGCAAACTTGAAAGTGCGAAAAGAGAACTTCAAGGTTTTTGTCATTGAAAGTGTATTGAAAGAATTCGTCTCGTTAGGAACCTGAATTCTTGAAATACCTAATCTGTTCAAAAATTTACATGTAGCCAACACCACTAAACAGTAAATTTATATGGTAAAATTATTCATGCATAATACTTTTTTTTTCTCTACAAAAGGACACGCCCCTACATTTGTTGTCAGGAAGTGCTGCAAGAAGAAGTTTATCACGGGGATTCCCTTTTACCCCAGGGTAAAGTATCAGCTGGCCCAGTGGCATTTACACTTCGGTTCAAAACGAGACTGGGGAACTGAACACGCCATTAATGGAAAAAGATACTCCGCCGAGGTAACTAACCCATTATAATAATTCTGTCGGATTGATAAGCTTTATGTAATGCAGACACTTGAATGTTGAAATTATACCGGTATTTAAGAAATGACTGTCTAGTTTTTTAGTTTCATGGTGTGATCAGTCGATTGGCTTGCGTGATAATTGCATAAAACGCCGAACATAAAATTTTTACGCATGCAAATCAATTGATCATTGTCATGAAACCAAAAATAATCTGAAACTTATTCCTTATTTTTACATGCTTTTGATTCCGCAAATTTACGTGCTACAGGCCCTGCTTCCGTCTCTATTAATTTTGTCCCGCCCCGCACGTGATTTTTTTAAACCACGCCTATTGATGAACCAGTAGATTTATGCAGAAATAAAGTATATTTACTATTTATAGTTTTAGCAAGGACAAAGAATTTTAAAATGTAAATATGCAAGTTTCAGACGTCACAAGTATACATGTATATACACAAAATCTTATGTTTCTTAATCAAGCAAATTTGAAACGATTTAATTTCTTCCTGATTCAAATGGTTGTACTGTACTCTGCAAAGTTTTAAGGAAGAAATGAAAATTTTAATAAATGCTTCCTCCGTTAGCTTCACATGGTTCATTTCAATACCAAGTATGGAACTGTGACCAATGCTATTGATAAGAAAGACGGTATAGCAGTCGTTGCCATTTTATTCAAGGTATCTTTCTTTCTCTCTCCCTCTCTCTCTTGTGAAATATTTTCCATACTGAAAATTATTCTATAACCACAGAAAACCACATCCCAGATATTTTGATATAAATGCAGGAGTGTTGCCGAGCCCGACTATCATCCATTGACTTGTTTTTCCGGAAATATGGCTCCCATGTGTATTGCCCTGGTAAGAAACTGTAGATAAACCTATATGGTTATATAGTAAATATGGGTTATACTGATAGACAAACAGATAATCATGCCAAAATGATGTTTTTTTCCCTTTGGGAAAGATTTATTACCAAATGAAACATATAAAGATAACTAACAGCACCAAGATCGAAAGTCCATTAAACAATACAAAATAGGAGCAGAGCAAACACGGACCTGCAAAACATAAGGTGCCATGGAGGATTGAGCATCTCCTGTCTATCAGTAACACCCACCGTGTGCTCCTTGTTATTATCGGGGGTCGGGAATAACGGAAAAATCCGTCGACAATTGAGTGTGTAAATATTGGACGATCAATGATGTGAAAAACATAAGTCAGCATTTGATTAAATGGTAGATTATTAAATTGTACTTGCTGACTAGGTCATTGTATCGACCATAAAACTTACTAAATGATGACTTAGATTTGAACGAGACTGTTGATATTCTTGTAACATCAACTTGTTTGTCAATAACTTACCTCGTTTAAAAATTTTTTTCAGGTAATTTGGTATTTCGTTGTAAGTATAAAGAGAAAATGTATTAAGACCAACCGGAATGAAAATCACTTCGCTATTATTGTTATTCATATAAAGTGCGCTTGTTATAATCGTGTTATACTGTTTATTTTGAGCATACATCTAGCGTATTCCTACAGGACACGCTGTCCGAGCTGTATTTAATCCTGTGTCCTGTATTCCAAAGAGAGGACGTATGTTCTTCTACAAGGGATCACTAACTACGCCAGGATGTTACGAGAGCGTTAATTGGCTGGTTTTCAAGAAGCGCCTGACTATATCATCAAGGACAGTAAGACACGTGACTGATTCAAAGTTACTCTCTTTATTTTTAAAGTAGAGAAATTTTTACCATACAGAAGCTATGCAATATTTCCTTTGTTTATTATAATATGTGATTTTCTGGGGAAGGGGGTAGGAGTTTATTTGCATGCGTTAAGTCATAATGATTTGAACAAAACTTTTTTTCACTATAATGAACTTCATGTGTAAAAAAAAAAAAAAAAAAAAAAAAATCGACTGCCGCATTATACAGTGCTTACTGATTGAATGTTTTTTCTAAGATCGCGGGTTCGAATCTCAATTACCGTCACAGTTAGTAGCTCAGTCGTATATGACATGGGAGATATTTTTCTTATTAAAAATCTACAAACATTACATCAAAAGATAATTCAACCAATATTTTTCATAACAAAATCAAACTGAAGTAGTAATATGATTTTTAAAAAAGATTACGTCAGATCGATAAGGATGTTTTTAGAAGCACTGCCACAATTTAATTATCTAAATTAATTAATTTTCCTTCATAGATGGCATTTTTCCGGAAGTTGAAAACGTATCACCATGGTGCCCCTATAGCAGAATTGACCAACCTCCGACCGCTACAGCCTCTAGGAAAAAGACACGTGTATTGTAACATCTAAACACGCAAATAAAAAATATAATAATGTGGAATGAAGATAGAAATACAAACTTTTAAAAGATAGGTAGTTTTTGGAATAAAATTCCAATTTTTAAATTGAATTTTATATTCTAACGCGGCTTTAGAGATTTCGAAGGGTTATACTGGTATAATGAAAAGTTAAAGATTACACAGACCGATCGATTTCAAAAATATACAAGTCATACAAATCTGTAAACGGGTTCTAAAACACACCCTAAAAAATTCAGAGGTACATGTAGGATCAGGTTCTTATGAGGAGATCCCCTGATGATCGATCACACCCTTTGTGAGCATTATTAATTGTAATGATTGATTGATTGTATTGATCATGCAGATAGACGGGACATTCCATTAAAATGAGGCCCAGGATCATTTTCAGACTTTGCAACAAGAGACGTGAAAATTTACTGAACCTGGCCCCCACTTTTTTTCCAAACATAACTTTTATTATTGAAAATGTTCTTTGAAAGGCTGCCCCCCCCCCCCCCCCCCTGTATTTCAAGAAATGGTACTGTATTACTGTCAACTTTTTCAGGTAAGTTAAAAAACTTTTTTTTCTCTGGATGCCCCCCTTTCAAAAACGATGCTACGTCACTGACAGGGAGACTATGCATAAAAATATAGGTTTGTTTAATTAAAAAAGGAAAAGATGTGTACTTTTTGAATAGATTGTAA